TACAAGTACAAGGCTTCTGGTAACTACGTTTCTGCCACACAGAGAAAGCCCACAAACAATGAAAGAGTATAGCGACCGTCCACAAACACAAGCCAGAGACAAGTAAAAAGTCTACACACATTCAAGGTCTTGTCTCATCTTCCCTGAGGACAGCTTTGTCCTTCCTCTGGTTGAATGAGCCAATAGGTAACCTTTTTTGATTGCTTATGTTCCTTTCAATTAGACTTCTATTACTCATAACAAAAGTTTGGACTAATGAACTGTTCAATCTGAGAACTGAACAGTGAGTCTTAAATATAAATTGTGCTTAAATTATTATTAGAATGATCATTGCTTGAGTTCTAAAGGCCATGTTCCTCTTACTTCATACAAACATGGCTACTACATGGTAGATGCTTGGTAAATATTGCTGGGATTAGTTAATAAAAAAAAGAGTTGAATGTAATACAGGAAATAGTGGTTATACTGTTAAATTTTACACAAAATCACAAGATTTGATGGAATTTTTCCCTGTACATTTTAGTCAAAACCATTATAACTCACCATTTTTAACTAGGATCCCTACATCATAGTACTGAGCACTCACAGTTTAGAGAATATGAATTTAAGTAATTATTCAGATTGAGATACAACTGTGGTCTATATAGTCCTGATAGAAGTCGCCTGTATGACTTGGGAATTTTAAAATATAGAAAATTATATTTTTAAAAATATTAACTATTTACCACAGTCACTTTTGTAGCTGTAAGATTTTTTTCGTTTTTATGTAAATATACTTCTCAGGAAATTATCTGGTTTTACAAAATTTCCAAGACTCTTACATATCAATAAAAAGCAAATCATAATATCAATAAATATAGTGAGGTTTAAATTAAGCAAAACTACTCTAAAACTAGTATACAATAACAGCAGAAATGCTCCCTACTTACATAAAAAGCTAGCATATTGTTTAAATTAGTACATTTATATAATGCTATATTCTTAATATAGAATACAGATATGAATCTGAGATTATGCTGATCTCTTGTTAATGATTAAAAGTTCTCAAAATATTAATGGCTGTGGCAGTTAAATTTATGTCATTAATAACCTATGTTTAAGGGGAATAGAAAAGCCAATCAGTGAGTAGTATCACCATTGAGTTCTCATAATGATAATCAACACACGGCTAATTTCATTTTTCCCATTGCAGTCTGTAAGTCATTTAGTTGTCTTACACATAATAATATTTTAAATAATATGAGATTTTCTTGTTATTTAACCTACTTGAATAAAGGAACTTTCTGACAATTGTGTAATCCAAACAAAATATCACTGCCATTTATAGTCCATGATAATGAAAAGAGCTATTTCAATTAAAAACCTCTTTCAGTGCATGAGTCTGAGGTAGAATGTTAATACTGTCCTCTTTCTGAATAAATACTGAGTGAACATTATATTAAGAGATGTTTCCAAAGTCACATGTTACTATTGGCCACACAAGTACTCAAACCCAAGTCTTTTAATTTAAAATTCAATCCCTTTTAAAACAGAGTGGCTACTTCTCTATTAGACTTCCTACAAATCTATTCTTACCTTCTAATATATCCATGAATAAAATAAATTTTAGATGATGATAGTTTTAAACTATCTTTGCCCTGTTTCTAAGTTTTCCATCAAGTATTGCTTCTTGATTTCTCAATGAAGACTTTTATTTATTTTCATGAATGAATGAGGCATTGCTCCAAGTGGATTTAAGGCTTCTGTGAAGCATTTTCTCTCTCTTTGCATATGACTGTGTTCTTTCAATATTTAGCAAATGCTCTGGCATCAGGCATCTCACCAGCTGCCCACAGCCAGGCAGTTGCCTTACTTACTATCACAGTCTTCACATAGTATCTGTGTTAAATTAATTATACAGTGTTGAATAATTTTAATAGTGCAGGCATTTAGAATCTGCTAACTTGAATGTTTCTCCATGAGTTTCATCTTTTTAAAATATTCTAGCTGAGAAATATCAATTAACATTTTTTATTTTTTAAAATTTTTAATTTTCTAGCTGAGAAATATCAATTAACATTTTATATTTTTTAACAATACATTATTACACATTTATAGATAAAAGTATAATTTTATTGCTATCATGAGAGAAATACTAAATTATACCAAAGGCATTTGTATATTTTCTTTTGAGGATTGTCTATTCATATTTTCTGCCTGTTTGGAGTATACATGATCCTTTTCTATTTTGTCTTTGTATTTTGTATTCTGTGTAATGTTATATTTCTACTTACTGTTTAAGATTTTTATTTCTGTCAAGTATTTTGTAAAGTGTCCTACTTTAAATCTTTTGAAACATTTGAAATACTTTCCTTAATCTTACTGGTTATATTGCCTCTTTTTATATAGCTTTAATTAAATAATTGTTTTTTAAAAAAACATATTTTCTGCCTGCTTTTAGTCAAGTTGTTTTCATGCTGCTGAGAATTCCTTATATACTTGAGATATCAAATTCTTACATCAGATATATGGCTTGCAAATATTTTCTGCAAATGTATTAGTTGTCTCTTTATTCTCTTGATTTTTTTCCCCTAGGCTTTGCAAAAGGTTTTTTATTTTGTTTTGTTTTTTAGTTTTTGTTTTTGCTTTTTTGTAATCTCACTTGTCTACTTTTGCTTTTATTGTCTTTACTTTGAGTTTATACTGAAAAACTATGCAATTTTAAATTTTTCGTTAACCTAACAATTATTTAAGGAGTGTTTGGGGGTTTTGGTTATTGGCATTGTTTTACTTCTAAATGATTAGATATTTTTGTTTCGTTCAACCTTCTCTAGACTGGTATGTCTTCAATAAATTTTTAAGGTTTGTGCATCCATTCATTATTTTCCAATTAACAAGATAAAATTTTCTTCTAAGAATCTATTTTCTCTCTTACCTTTTTTTATAGTGTTAATAGTATTCCCCTTTCTATGAGTGCACATGTGATTAACAACTGGCAAATCAATATACAGTGACAGTGTGAGGATAAGATACACTTCAACAAGAGGTTTTAATGAGCTTCTGCCAGGGACGTTTTAGGATATCACCCCTCCCCTCACCTGAACCTGGACAGGCAGATGCATCCTGTCTGTCCAGATTTACCACATGGAGTGCAAAGATAAAACCAACTTGGCAAAGATGAAGCAGACATATGGAGGAAACTTAGTCTTAATTTTATCAGTTAGGCCTGAAGCTAGCTTTACTTCCAAAGATTTCAGAAATGTGATTTTTAAAATCCCCTTGCTTCTTAATCTAATTTTATTGGCTTCCCTGGAACTTTCAGCAAACAAATCAATTATATTATTCATTGACCTAGTTGTTGTGCATTTTGTATCCTGTCTTTTATTTTTGCTTTTAGACCACAATTTGCCTGTTTATATAAATTTTGGTTCTTGTCTTTTTTTTCTTAAAAATATGAATATGACATTCTATTCAACAAGGTTATTAATAGCCACTAGTGTGTCTCCATATGGTTCTTGTAAAAATGTCTTCTCTAAAGGAGTGAAACAGTGCTTGCTGCTTAACAAGGAAACAAGGAGAAGATGGATATTTCAGGTACCATAAATACTCCTTATCCCTTAATCCTTAGACAGAGCTAAATTTACAGTTCTCCTTCTAAATAACATGTTTAGAATAGAAACTTAATACACTTCAAATTAAATAGTAGAAAATATTTGCATTAGATATTCCCATAGAGTGATGTTAATTTGATAAATTATAGTATAAGCTCTGTATGATTGTTCCAGGTGGTCCTACTCTCTAAGGAAACAGTTTGATGTAGATAATTAACGTCATGAAAAATATTCTATCTGGATCTCTGTTTTTCTATTAATTTAAGGAATTGTTCTTGAAAAGGCAAAGGAATTTCATCTCACAAAGACTTTTTCCAGTTAACTAGCATGATAAGTTGTACATACTACCCTACAGCTGTAAATAAAAGAAAGGTTTAGTATAATGAAAGTTGATGTCTACCATGCTGATCGCCTCCAAATCCTGAGAATGTGTTTGTTGCAGGAATTTTGTTTGAGTTTTTATCTTTATAGTGTTGATATAAATAAATTAAGACATTTGTAATCCTTTTACAGAGTTAGTAAATAGTTTTCCCATGTGGCAACACACATTTATTAATCCCAATTATGTGTCAGGCCATCTGCCATGCGTCAAACATACAAAAGTAGAGTAATGCAAAGTGGAATGGAATCTTATTTATACAATAAAAATTATACAGAGTACAATTAGAGGGTGGGGCAGTGGGACAATCGGAGTGTAGATAGATCATTTCTACTAAAATAGTATGGACTGGGGGATTTGTATACCCACTATAAGAGACGCAAGTAAATAGTACAGAAATTTTTTTTAATGAAATAGAATGCTTTCTTTTATTTAGTGCTGTTCTTATACAAGTTTCACTGGAGCAAGGGATAATTTGAAAGAAGCAGCATTACTATGTGATCTGGCAATCCATCCTCACTCTTCCAAAGGAAGGCAGTTACACTTTCTGCAACACTCAGTAGTACCACTCTTTGCCTTTAAGCATACACAAAATACAGGTCCACCTAGAAGCAGACACCTGGGCAACTGAACTTCTCAAATGCTTTCAATTGTCATGTGACTGTCATTCACTGATTGACCCAAAACATGCCTTCCTATATCCTCCACCAACACTGTAATTATTTCTATGGGAAAATTCCACATGAATTTAACCCTTTCACAAACACTATCTTTTATTAGTCAAAAGAAACAATTATGTTGAGAAAAGTCTAAATAAACATGCTCCTCAGAAGTACAAAGATAGAAAATGAATCTGTTCTTTTCTACCACTCTGTTTCCTTGACTGCTCCGGAGCACATAGTACTCCTGACTGACCGAGTAGGTACTGCTTTTACTTCCACTTGTAGACATGAGTGCACAGGATACTCAAGCCCACACATACAGATGCACACACACATGCCAACTGGGCTCTCAGAAGAAAACATTATTACCTTTTAGGCTCCTGTTGCAAAATTTTAGGTAATCTGGTTTTTTTGTGCAGGAAGATGTTAGGATACTGTTTTATAATTGCACTGTGAGCTGATACAGCAGGGCAAGAACTCCAGCTTTAAAAAAAAGAAATCAGGAAATACATTTTAAAATATTTTTAACTTAGCATATTCAGTTACTGTTATGGCAATTTCTAAAACTAAGCCTTGTTAACATTTTTATTTTTGCAATTGATTAAAACTATTTTGTAATATAACACGTCATTTAGAAACCTCTCCAGAATGATTCAGGAGTATCTATGTAAACATTGCTGATAATATAATTCTCTAAATCTCTGCAATGACTTATAAAAGTTTCAAGCAGTTTTTTTTAGGTCTAGTACAAAGAACTGTTAGATGAAAAGATCAGCATTTCACAAGTTCAGAAGTGCACAAAAACAGTCTGGGAAGGTTTTGATAAGTAAAGCTTCGGGTCTCTTCCTCATGAGTGGTAAACCCCAGTGGTGTAGCCTGGGTGGACTCCTATTTTACATATCCTCCAGGTGACTCTTATGCGCAGTCAAACTTTGATCATTGCAAATAGCAAAACTGCCAGTAAGCAAGATCTATGGAAACAGCAAACTGTCCTTCAATGCCAGGGAATGAATGATATTTGTTTCTGGAAAATCTGCCTCATTCAACTTTCAATGGACAACTACCATGAAATGTGGGTCAATTTTTAAAATGCTAAACTCACCTTTTGACTGCTTATTTCAATAATTATGATCGTATCTTAAATTGAACATTGACAAACAATCAATATTTGCCTCAAGATGATGAATATAAAAGTCCTCATAAGAAGCCTTTTTTATTTTATTGTCAATGTAGATACTAACACATTTGAAAATATTTATAATGGCTTTTATTTTTTTCTTGGCTAAAATTCCTAAAACACCATATTGATACTTTACACAAGCTAAATGTTATATACTTTGGCAATCTGCTTTTATTTAATTTACCTTAACTGAATTAAGCAAAAGAATGTGGATATTATTTAATACGACAGTAAGCATTTTCATTCCTTTCTCGTACTCTGGGCACAATAGATCAAGTATCTACTCTTTTTTTAAGTCTATTTATTTCAATAGAGGATTTTCAAAAATCTTTTTTTCTTTTGCTCACCCAGTTCACATATCTAGTTGTTTTTATTAGGTGCTTTTTATAGTCTATGTATGATACTAGGGTTTTACATCGTTTTTATACCTTTGCATATTTGTATAACCTAATAATGTGGTTATATTTTATTGTCCATTCTATCCATAAAGAATCTGTTACATTAATAATTGGCCTAATTTATATAAGTTAGAAGTGGAGGGTACATGGTACCAATGAAAACTGAATTAACTTGAAAACCCCTTCTCAAAACTGCTAGGATATTGCTGCTAATTAATAAAATATGTTAGTTCTTGCTGTATGGCAAGCACTATTCCTGGCAATTTCCAAATTGCATGTCATTTAATACTTGTACCATTATATTAGCTAGATACTCCTATCATCTCATTTTATGTATGAAGAAACTGAGACACAAAGTTGTTCAGTAATGTGACCTTTTGTCTCCATGTAGTCCATGCTACTAGCCTTGGAACCTTATTCTAATCTGCGATCTGGGTAGAGTATCTTTGCAGTAGCTAAAGTTTTATACCAAAATACTGAAACTTTTAGTCTTGTCATTTCTCTACGTGTATCATGGAGCTACCTCCTTCACCCAATCCTTGAGAAATTTCAAGATGTGATGGCAGGTGTACATGAACTCAGGGTTTATGATCTGAGGCTTCAAAAGTGGTGTGTCCAAGGAGGAAATGTGGAAGGCTGATGTGGAAGAGTCAGATGCTGCAGTTGGAGGTAACATGATTCTCAGGTGCAATCCCTAAGCATCCCATGACGCTGACTATGTATGTTCTATGCCATAAAAATGTAGTTTGGCAACATACTTCCACTAACGAGTCTCTTACAGTCAAAGATCACAAAATTAAATGCTCAAAGTGGTCAGGGGTAATAACACAGTGGAACTAAGGTGAATAAACTAATGAAAGCATGGCCTCAAAAAACTGCCATGGCTCCACTCTTAAAAGATCACTTTTTAATATTTTGCTAAAAATTCAATATAGTCAGATCCTCTTTTTCAAGAAATCAGAAATCTGAACTCTCAAGATATATTCTATTTTTTACTTGTTGATAACTTCTAAGAACTAAATTATATTTCCATCAAAAAGAAGTCATGTGTCGAAGCCCTAACACCCAGTGCAACTGTATTTAGAAATACTTCACTACAAGGGAAGTGGAAACTATAGTCTAACTCTGTTCCAGGAGAAAAAGATAGTTTGGAATGTGAAAATAATAGATATAAAAAAATCACTGAATATTAGAACTAAAATTTTTCTTAATATTTGGACACATGGCTATCATTTTGCAGATAAGAAAATGACATGTACATAGTTTAAGTAACCTGCCTAAATTTATAGAAAGTACAAAAATTGGTTCACAAATTGAGCTTGTCTTATTTTCAAGGCTGGGATTCTTCCATTGCTCAAGATAAGCACAATGAAATAAGAAAGGTAAGAAGCAATGACTCATATCATGCAGTTCAGGAACCCTGCCAGGATGATTAATTGGTGTCCCTTTTACTGACCTACGATGGTGTGTTTGGTGTATATTCATGGTTGGTTTCTAATCAATGGAATATCATCACCCCCAAACTCCCCCCCTTACATAGGAGGTCCTCTATGGATTTTCTCCTTCTAGCTTGAAGCAGAGGAACACAGTGGCCCTTGATAAAGAAGAAAGTGAAAAATTTTGGTAAAACCCTAAGATCCTACTCTAGGAGCTTCATACTGAAAATAATTATCCCTTATAACATTATGTGAGAAAGAAATTCCTAACAATGAAGGTAATCATTATGTACTCCAAACATGTACTAATGAAAGTAAGTAAATAAATAAATTAAACCACTGAGATTCAGGGTTTATCCACAGTAGATGTATAAACACAATATTTCTTCTACCTTTCATTCTATCAGTTTAAAGATCTATGAGCATAATAAACTCAATACAATACATATTGATTAATTATATTTATGTGTTTGCCCTGAGGAAATTTACATTTTTATTCTAAATTAAGCCAAAGTCAAAGAAGTCAAACCTATTTTAATAGATTGTTTCTTCCTGAAATTGTCTTACAAATATTATAGCATATATATAATATATATATATAT